TGCTTGTAGTAATAACAGTACAGATAGTAAGGAAATAGTTTGTAATAAACTCATCATTTGATATATTATCTGAATTCACAATATATGTATCACGAAGTATGTACAAGTTAAATCATTATGATGATTCGTATTTACATTCACTCGACTCTTCTGCACTTCTTCCTTCTTCACTCAAGAAAAGGCGAACCAATTATCTAACGGACACAGAGTCACATATTCATGCAAAAAGAACGAAGAAGAATCCCATTTAAACACGTGAGAAGACATTTTCTGATTCCGGAGATAAATTTAGACAAGTATGTATATAGTTTACATAACTGTACCTCTTCTTTTATTATTCGTTCAAAGAAGAATCCTTTGTGCGTTCGAAACGTCACGATTTATTCGTATATTCCAATTCTGGCTTTGGCTTCATTTCATCTCTGTTCGTACGTTACTGCGTTTGACTTTTTGTTCCCTTTCTCCTGCACAGAACATTGATCTGATTCCATGGAAGCAAACAGCATCAATCAAAAATATATTAGAAAACATCGCCTGATCGTCTCCAACCTTACCTAATCATACTGCAATCACCCTTTCCCGCTGACACTGAATCACCCGACCCGTCTCCTATTCCAAAGAGAATCCCCTTCCCTATCTAACCCCGCAGAATCCCTTTCAAAATACAGGAGAAAACTTCCTCTTCTCATCTCCCGGCTTCTCCCACTCCTTGCTGGTGGCGATGATCCTCTCCATCTTGCAGAGCTCGATCTCCGCCTGCCTCATCTCCTCGGCGCCCTTCGCATCCTTGTACGGCCGACGCAGGTTGGGAGAGAGCTTCAGCGTCATCAGGTAGCCTCTGGAAGGAAACGATGCTGCCTTAGGACTGGGTCGAAGCGTGTTGTTAGGTAGAGGCGAGTTCTAGGTTTGGGTTGTGGGAAATGGAAAGGAAAAAAGGCTGGAGAAAAGGGTTAACAGTCAGTTTAAAATGTATTGTTAGCTTAGGACGATTTCCAAATTTGAGGGCAAGAAATATGGCTGGGAAAAATGACTAGAAGTTCACTGAGAACATGTGAGCTTAAGGTGATTTACAGGCTTAGGAGTATGAAATCTAGATGGGAAAAAGGTTTAAAACTAATCGAAAACATGTTAGTTTTAGATACTTTAGAGGATGAAATCTGGCTGGGAAAATGGTTTAAGATTAGTTTAAAACGCGTTTTTAGTTTAAGTTCGATTACCAAGTTTTGGTGTGAAACCTGGTTGGAAAAAAATGATTTGAAATTAGTTGATTTCTTTTTTGTTGGTTTAAGATACTTTCAAGGTTGAAAAAAATCTGGTTTAAAACCAGCTAAAATGTGTTATTAGTTTAACATACTTTCGAGGTTTGGGAATAGGAAATCTGGTTGTACAAAAACTAGTTTAAACTACTTGAAAGCATGTTGTTAGTTTATGATACTTTCCAGGGCTGATGAAAACTCTGAAATGATTGAATAAATGTGGTTAGTTTAAATACTGATGAAAAAGTGTAATTAACAGACGTTGTCGAGAGATAGAAGCGAGAAAAAGCACTGGAAGGAAAGGTTGGCTTAGTTTAAGACTACGTGAAAACGTGCGGTTGGTTTAAAATGACCTCGAAGTGTCGGAGTGAGAGACCTCTGAAGAAATACCTGGAGATAAATATGTTGTTTTTAATTATTGAGAGGTAAAATGTTTTTTGAGACTGGGGGGAAGGTGTGGTTGTTGAAGAAATGGGTGGACAGAATTGAGAGATGATGATCCCTGTCATGAAAAGCTGTAGATGCTCGTCAAGACCAGTTTAGAGTAATTGTTTGTTTGTAATTTGGAATTTAAATTACAATAAGACTAATACAGTTTTGGAGGGCCTTTTAGACGCCTTTGTCTAAAGGTATGAGAGTGAGAAATTTGCCTGCTTGTGGCAAAGAAGGGGCAGAAATCTTAGTTCAAGAGGATATGAAAATTCAGATACTTAACTACAATATAATTATCTTTGAAGCCCCCCCCCCCCCCCCCCATACACGCACACACACACCGCAGCCACAGACAGGCGGTGCAGCAGAAGACGACTCGGCCGGGCACTCACTTCTCTCCGCCGACGAGCACGACGGGGCTGAAGGGGTTGAAGGCGACGCAGGAGAGGCCAAGTCGACGCCGCTGGTTAAGGTTTTGCGAGCACAGCGGATGGCACTTGCGGAGGAACAGGTCGTACACGTAGATGCGCCCTTCGTCCGTGGCCGCCGCGACCACACTGCTGCTGTAGGGGGACCACGAGACGCTCCCGACCGGCGAGCCGAGGTCGAGGGTCACCAGCGGCGACCTGAGGCGGAAGCGGAGTTTGAGACAATGTTCAACGATGCAAAGCTAATTCTTCGCCACGGTTCAGCAGATCATGCATATCAATCTTCATGTACATGTTTATATTGATAAGACTGCTGTGACATGAACTAATAACTTGTTGATATCATCTGTATAATTCCATTCTTGTGATTACATGATCAAAGTGTCTCTCCTTCCCATTGCCATAATCCTGCATGGCTCAGACTGTGCAGCCACTGTATCAATATCTCCCTATAGTGTAACCTTTGGAGTTCAGCAGCTAAATTCTATGTGGTTATCTATAATTGCTTCAAAGACTTCCCTTATCCTCTGTGTTCGGGTTTAAAAACTCATCTGTTAGCATTGCATTGCGTCTGTGTATTCGTTACAGTACAATTAATCGTCTAGGATGCACGATTGCTGGAATAGTGGAACATCTTGACAGGAAGTAACACAAGAGGTAGAGAAACTTCTTGAGATAAATCTACGATTTGCAACTTTGCCAAGTTAATGTGATATATAACTTCTTGTAATTAAACTGCCCAAAGTTTAATATCAAGAAAGCTGAAAAAGTACATAATCATACTGATCTTAGCTCTCGAGCAACCGAGGTCACACTGCAATAAACTGCTTTGACAAAACACCAGCGTAGAGCCGATATTTCTGCAATGACCTCAACCCCTTCCTTCATCTAATGCGATTCTTACTGATAATCAAAGTCATGGTTAACGTGATTAAGATATTTTGCATTACGTATTTGTAACCCCAGAATTGTAATGATAGAAATGAAATCATTACATTCTAAAGATGAAACACTTTCTCCATCTCACGCTGCCAAGGCACGCCTCTGCCCTCCAAAGTGTATCCTAAGCACGCCCATTCAGTCCCTGCTCACCCCTCGTGTAACCCCTGTCTACGAAGACTACTCTAATTTATGAACTATTTAAACATTTAAACCCGCCCCCACATAGCAAGACAAAGGCAAAGGCAAAAGGCAAATCAAAGTAAAAACAATAAGAGAATCAACATTGAAATCAAACTCAACCTCAAACTCAGTCTCAAACTCGAAGGCAAGATTCCTCACAGGCAATCGCGGATCCAGATCTTAAGCGTCCAGTCCAAGGAGCAGGAAGCGAAGACCTTGCAGTGGTGGGCGTTCCAGGCGACGTCCCTCACGGCGCCGACGTGGGCGGGGTAGCGCGTAAGGGCGTGGGTGCTCGAGGTCTTCAGCCGCAGCACCTCGCCCGTGTCGACGCCCACCAGCATGTCCGTCTTGTCGTTCGGGTTCAGCGCTATGCAGGTGGCTCTGCCTAGGGCGGGGAGGGATCGTGTCAGTGAAAGATAAAATGGAAAAAAAAAAATAAGTGAAGGAAAGGGAGAGAAACAATGAGGGAAACATTGTCAACATCTATAAATATAGGCTTCTGTTTTAACATCAGGACTGAGCATTATCTTCGTGTGCACATATGTTTACAGTATCGTGACGAAAAGTATGGATATCGCCGAAAACATACCATCGCGTACGGTATACATAAATATATAAATACTGATCACACAGAAAAGAAAGAGAGAAATGGCAAAATAAATTCGACAACAAAAAGAAAGAAAGAAAGGGGCAAGTAGCAGAAGTGCATGTCAAACCGATGACCCTTCTTTCGAAAGCCACAATAATCCTCCAGCAATCAGGAAGTGAACCTAAAGAAAACAAACAAGACAAAAGAGACGTAGAACCCGACTCCCCGGCCCACCTTCGAGTAAGAACTTGGATGCTTCTTTAGATAACTTGGCGTTCTGCGCGCTGGCGATGAAGTCGAGGATATCAGCGTGGACGAGAGCGGAAGGCCGGACCAGCCACTCGGACACGCGGCCGTCCTCGGACACAGAGTAGAAGCAGAGACTCTCGCCGGGGTCTGTTGGCACCCAGCGCACCTGCGGAGGAGGAGGAGGAGGCGGAGTTAGCGGGGGGATACTGAAGGGATGGGAAGGAGGAAGAGGGGAGTGGGATGGATGGATGGATGGAGGGAGGGAGGAAGGGAGGGAGGGAAAGGGGGGGGAGAAGGGAGGGAGCAGGAAAGGAAAGAAGGAAAGATGGACGGCAAAAGGTGAGGTCCGTTGTCACTCAGCACAGCTGGGTTGGGGAGGCGGAGGTAGGCCGGAGTTAGCGTGGGGGTTTACTGAAAGGAAGGAGTGAGACTGAAGGAGGGAGGAAGAGATGGAGGCGGGCAGGTAGGTAGGGAGGGAGAGAAAGAGAGAAGGAGGAGATAGAAAGGGTGTGAAAAAAAGGAGGAGAGGAGAAAAGGAGAGAGGGACGAACAGAAGGAAGGAGGGAAGGAGAAAAGAGGGAGGTAAGGAGGAAAGGAGGAAAGGAGGAAGAGCAGGAGGGAGGGGAGAGAAAAAAACGCAGGGAAGGAGAGAAGGAAGAAAGGCAATAGAGGAAGGAAAGAAGGAGGGAGGGAAGAGGAAAGGGGAAGGAAGGAAGGAGCGATGGAGGGAGCGCTGGAGATAAGTAGAAAGGAAATAAAGGAGAGAGATAAAGGGTATGAGGGAGAGAGACAGAGAGAAAGAAAAGAATGTTCTGTTGATAAGAAGAAATAATACTTTTCCACGTGGTTATTAAATTTTGCATTTAGCCACATCCGAACCATGCAGCATTATAGAATCAGGTAAAGCAGAAAGAAATATAAAAAATCAATAGCAGCAATATACTATCTCATATCTCTCATATCCATAGTTACTAAGAAAAAGGTTGTAGGACAGAAAAATCCAAATCAGCTAGCTACGTTCCAGAGCATCTTCGACCTTAAAGGACAGCTCAAAACATCCCAAAACTTCTGAAAAAAACATCTCGGAACATTTAATAGCATCGTAAATCTATCAAGCTACATAAACATAACCCAGGATGTGAGACACCAAAGACTTCTGGGAACACGTCAAAACGGCCCAGAACTTTAATGAAAAACCCTTCATTCTTCAATAACATTTCATAATAGTTACGATAACATCTAAACAACTCAAAAACGTCCTGCGAACACCCTAGAACATCCAAATCGTCTCAGAGAATCTAAAACCTTCTCACGCATTCCAGAACACCAAGGAACATTTCAGATAATTGAAATACATGTCTAGGGATGCCCCAGGATCACCAAAAAACATCCAAGAGCACCTCAAACATACCCAAAATATCCCGGGACATTTCAAAACATAAAGAAAAATATCGCAAAACATTCAGAAACAAGTCAGGACATTTAGGAACATTTAAGACTGAGAATATCACAGAACATACCATAAGAACATACCTCTAAGAGCATCCTCAACCTACGAGAACACTTCTGAACATCTCAGAACATCACAGAACGTCTCTAAACAATCAAGAACACCATAGAACATCACAGTACGTTTCTGAAACACCAGAGAACATCACCTCAGACCACCTCGGGAACACCCCATCCCCAGTCGTGCGTACCTGGCAGACCGGCTGGAGGTGACTTCCGGCAACAACCGTCGAGGTGATGACCCTGGGGGCGCGGGGGAAGCGGACGTCGACCACCATCACCGCCCCGTCCACGCGCCCCGCCGCCAGCACGCTCGCTCGCTGCGGGGAAGGAGGTTCTCTTAGGAATGGGTTTATGGAGATATTGATTCAAAAATGTCCTTTACTTATCGATGTTATGTTGAGTTGTTATTATCCATTATAGTGGCCTACATTATAACTAAATAAAGGAAAAAGCAGCGTTGAAAACAGAAGAAGGAGGAACGCACCGAGGGATGGAACTGTACTGACGTGACGCCACAGGAAGGCTGCAGGACGCGCTCAGGGATGCCCGGGTTCTTGAGGGTGAACAGGCACAGCATCCCTCGGGCGTCGGATGCCCCGCAGATGCTCTCTAAAAGCAAGGAAAGGAGTCAGAGGTTGTGTTCTTTAGCCCGAGTTCCACAAATCAAAAGTGTCCCTGTCCCTCATACTTATGATCCGCTAGCCAAACTTGGCTCT